TCTGATTATTACTGTCCTACAAATTTCTTTAATGCCAAATGTCGTCTAAAACACATAATTTCTCAACAATTTTCTGGGGGGCTGCGCCTTCCCCCCTCCTTAGCCAACCAAAGGAGCTTCGCCCCGGCTACGTGTCGAGTCGGGCTACGTGCCCAGAATCGAAAAAACTTAATCTTTTAATGAATAACGGAACCTTCATTATGAAGTTACGAGATGATAATATAATTGGGAGGCAAAGTGGGTATCGGGCTTGGGGCTCATAATGCGCAAAATTTGGCCGCTGTCGAGTGGGTCTGCCTAAAATTCACAGATCTAGCTATGGGTCTGAGACATTTGTAAAAAAAAAACCTTATATCAGGGAATGGTACTTGACAAAATGTTGTATACGAGGGGATTTGGTATAAGCCTTGTTGGCTTGGATCGATGTTGGTCTCAGCCAATCCAATGACATCAAAATTACACGGGAGGGTCTTATGTTCTATTAAAAAGCTGTCAAAATTAATAGCAAACCCATCTATATTGCAAAACAGAGCGGGCAGATAAGCAGAATTTTTATTTTTCTCAGGAAAAAGTTTGCTGATTGAGTTTGCTAGTTCTTGTTTTGTACATAACGCTTACAGTCTTCAAGTATTGAAGAGAATTTAGCTATGGTGACATCTTCCTGGTTGTTTGTATCATAGAATTTATCTGAATCATCATATCTTTGGTTGCTTGGAAATGGGCAATACCTATCTTCTATTGTACTACAGCAATCACTACACATCCATAGACCGTTTTTGCTTGTAAATTTCGCGGATCTGAAGCACTTAGTATGAATTGTTTTGCTGCAATTTTCACATTTTAAGAGTGGCTGGCCAATATTAATGAATTTACTGCAGGGGTCGCACACATCTTTGATAAGTTTCATAATCATGATAAACTAAGTGGGATAAACTCCCACTGGTCGGGTGGCCTTCCTTTGTCTTACTCTCTCCTGTCTCTCCCTCACATACACCCACTGTTTCAGACATCTCACAAATTTAGCAATACCAAGCTCTCCGAGATGGATTTCATCACCATTTCTCGTGAGTTTCATAGCAAGCAACCCTTTACCGTCTAAAAAGTGGCCAACACCAAGGTGCCATACAGTCTGGTTAAAGCTAGAGTACAACATTTCATCAACCAAGCTGTTGAATGCCATAATGTTTTTATTCATCTTAGGGAGTCTAGACGGTAAAACTGCTGTGACAAACAACTTCGCCTTAGGGCACAGTTTCTGGATCTGCTGGATTTTCAGGTGGAGAATGTCTACCAGCTGGTGTATATCACCAGGTGACTGCACATTTTCAACTCGTAGATGGTTGGTCCCACAAACTAAGATGACGTTGCTATAACCAATGGAGGAGGAGTGTGTCTAGGGGAACGCCTTTGGGTACTAGCACTTGAGGCAGTAGCCATGATGATATGATATCAGAGATATGTCCGGAGTCCAGGGGGCCAGCTTGGACAGACCCCCGCACCTGAAAGGAGAAGAGCATCAGCCGGTTCATTGTGAGTGATATGAGGTGGGTTTGGTGGGAATATGATTGAATAGAATTTTTTCAAGAACTTTCAAAAGAGTGATTGAAGTATTCAAAAATATGTAAATCATTCAAAGGTCAGACACACTAACAACAACAGGACAAACTGGGTTTGGATGGGGTGATTTGGTTTGAAATTGTTAAGTGTGTAGGTAAAATTGTTTGAGCAGAATTTTCAGAGTAAAAATAAATAAATTCAGGGCAAAAAATTTGTTGAGACAGGTATTCAGAGAATGCCTATCTTGGAATACTTCAACACTACTATATATTTTTTTTTGGACTAGCAATGGTTTTTTATTAGGTGTAGTGACTAGTGGTATGTGAACACATGACGAACCGAACTGACAACTCAACTCATTTTCTAGGAGCAGTGATCCATCCTCCCTGAGCCCCCCATCGTCCAAACAAGGTCTCTAGTTCATTGTTAACATAACCATTGCTAGTCCTCAAATTATTTGTTATATAGTAGTGTTGAAAGTATTAAAACTATCATTCTTACTTTGCATCGAAGACGAGATTATTATTTGTTAGTGGACATTTTGTCATGTACTTCTAACACCCAAACCCTTAGTATAGTGAAAATATGAGTAGTACAGTTAAAATTGATGGTAATTATTAAATAAAAATGTTGTAGCGCGATGCACTACTGGGTCGCGCCGCGCATCAAATAATTCTTCTCGCAACGTATGCAGATCGGCGAAATGCGAAGGATTGACATCGTGAATCAAATAAAAATGGTTCATTGACACATAGTTGAAGAAGGAAATTAAAAAATTTAATAAATGTTGTCTGTGGAGTGGTTTATATGTTTATGTTATAGTGTAGGCGCGCGCGCGTACTTAACCATCTGCAATATATTGTAAGCCAACATATTTAGTTTATGCTTAATTTCTTTATACATTATGTCGCCACCATCGTGCCCAATACTTTTAGTGGAGGTCTGATGTAGAACAGTTAATCACCAACTGTGGTATATCAAAAAACATGTTTGTACGCGTGCGCGCGCGCGTACTTAACTACCTGGTATGGTACAGCATTGAGATATCATCATAATTCTAAAAGCAGAGGACACCATCCAGTTGCCCAAAACTTTTGGCTATGGTCCCAATACTATAAAACCTTAGATATGGCCTCAATGTGGTTAAAACATGTTTATTTTGGACCTTCGGTCAACAGAAGCACAAATTAACCATTATTCAGCAACCTCCGAACTTTTGGTGCCTTATTTTGCTTTGATATTTGATTATGAGACAAAGCTGAAGGATAACAAGTGATTTTAATGATGATGCAACAGAATGTGTGGCCGTATGGCGGTTAAAACGACCAAAAACACTGATTTTAGACCTTGATTAACCATGCTGGACGCAACAAAGGACTCAGCAATGTTTCTGGTCATATAAATGAGCTGGTAGTTATATCTAAATAGTGCAGCATGGCCAGCTAAAGCTTTACAAAGCTAATATGTGCTCTAAAAATGGTTAATTAGTGCAAATATAGGGTATTTTTGAGACATTTTAACCACCTTAGCTGCACATTGATCGGAATGCATGAACTTCGGGTCAATTATGCATTTGCCAACAAATATGCACTCAATTGGATAGCAAACCATTATCTGAAGTTCAAATTGTGGTTAATTTTCATTTTAATAGATGCCTTGTTCAACAGCCTAGCAAGTCATATAGCCCTTTTAACCACTTTTACGACAACATTTCTTGATAACTTTTATCAAAACCCTTCAAATGTCCTTTGTTGACCAGAAAAAGTTGACTAAAATCATTAATAATGTTTTGATTGGTGGTTAACAAAAATTTTTGACGTTTTACATATTTTTAAATTTAAATTTGTTTTCCTTAATGAGTGTGCTTCGTAGCAGATCCAACCTGAATCGTGTTCTGACATGATTCCTGACCTGACTCCAGATATTGTGAAGATTAGTGGGACAAGGCTTTCTCTGACTGAAGTAGTCCCTCATAGAAATCTTTCTTCTCCTTCTCACCCTCACTATAGATCTTATTTAGTGGCTTTTAGGTATTTGAGTCACAATTAGGATGTGTGACCCCTTAAGAATGCCCTTTCAAAGGACAAAGGGTGCATACAGCCAAACTGTTGCAACGTCAAGACAGGCTTCATCAGTGGCGTAACAAAGGGCCCCCCTGATCCCGTCATCTTAGGGGGGCGCCAAATCGTTGTTTGAATGTGGGACAATTTTGAAAAACTTAACTCAAGTTCTAGTAAAACTGGACAAATTAGTTTTAGAGGATACGCCGGTAAAATCTCTCAAAAGGGTGTTTCAGGAGCTAAACATGCAGTTTTGCTATGCTAGTACCTTAGACCTTAGTTGAATTTTTCAAAATTGTTTCTTCTTTCTTTTCTTTCATTTTTCGCCCTACTACTTGAATTGTGTATTCTAAAACTGTATGTATGTACATCAAAGCAGTATTATAATACTTCTTTCCTTTAGAAGGTAGACTGGAAAAAAATAACTACCAAATCATCCTGCATCTACTTAAAAGAATTTCGAACAACAACTTCACTAAGATCGTCAGTTTCTGGTTGGGCATCCGTGTTTAACTGTGTAGAATTATTGGTCACCTGACTTGATAAGCTGATTTTTGATGGTCATACCATACTAGCATTGTGTGTTCAGGGTAGAAAGATCCTGCTAAAGAGGATTCTGTGATATAACAGGCCTCTTCTTTTCATTTGTTGGTGATGTGAGAACAAGCTCTACTTCATCGCAATACGACACACTAATGGGGTAAACCAGATACTTGGCATGTTATTTGAGAGGCTACATATACTGGGATCTAACGTGCAATTTCGTCTCCCCCAAGGAGCCTGGTATAGAGAATTACTATACAGAAATTTTACTTTACGATTTAACACGAAGACAAGTCTAGCAAAAATAATTACCATTTATATTGGGTTCCTTTTCTTTCTGAAGAAACCCTTCAAGTTCAAAGTTCAAACCCTTTTGTAACCATTGATACAAAGGCCACAATCTTTTGCCAGCACTCCAATATCCACCTTGAAGCTGCATTTTATATCCTTGAACTACACAATATAAATTAAAGCATATTTTAGTGTAGACTTTTTGTCACAACAGGACTGCAACCTATAGTAGCAACTATAAACAGAACCCCTAATGTCTGCGCTAACACTTTTCTTCTAGTCCTAATATGAGCCTTGTCTCTAAAAACTTAACTGACCTAGCGTTTCGGTGTGTGCAAAAGCTTTCAGGCACGCGAATTCCTTGCCCCGTTAGTTACCTGTCCTTCCAAAACCAAACTAGCAGTCAAGGACAAAAAGTCATACACCAAATGGGCATTATATTTTATGAATTGTTTTACATCTTTTTATTCTGTAAAATGTGCTAAAATTAAATTTCTTGTTTCATTGAATTTCTTGTTTCATTGAGTGGTAAAATTGTATCACTTACCTAATGGAATTTCTTAAAACTAGGGACAGGATGCCTACCAAGCTCCCTCGATGTTTCTTCACAGTCAATATAGACGGCATGCCACTAGGCACCGTCATATTCGAACTGTGTGCTGACATATGCCCAAAGACCTGCGAGAACTTCATGTGCCTTTGTACAGGTGATCGTGAGTTTAGATTTTATAATTTTCAGAGATGACCGTATCCATCGTAAAAACGTTCCATGAAAGCCCAGCAGTTTTGTATTAACTATTTCCCTATTTTAAATCGGTAATCGGTAACTTGTAAAGTTTGGCTTCTGTCTATAATTGTATCAATTAGTACACAATTTCTATATTTATAATCTTTATTTTTCAGGAGAAAAAGGGCATGGCAGTCAAGGAAAACCACTTTCTTACAAAGGCTCCAGTTTTCATAGAATTGTAAAAAACTTCATGATCCAGGGAGGCGATTTCACTCATGGTAAAAACAGGAAAATTAGTTGACAACTTATTGTTGAAACAATTATCGAAAACAAATTTGTTAAAACAATTATCTGAAAACTAATTACCGTTATGAGACAGTATTCGACAATTATTGTAATCATACAAATTGAGATAATCATGTTAATTATACATATATAATGGTATAATTTTCAATTAACATTATTCCCGACCAGTAATTAAGTCTCTATTCCAGGCACTGGAGTTGGTGGAGAGAGTATTTTTGGAGGTGTTTTTCCTGACGAAAACTTCATCTTGAAGCACGATCAGAAGTATTTGTTGTCCATGGCAAATAGGGGCCCTAACACTAACGGATCCCAATTCTTCATGTTAGTTATCTTTTTAAGTGTTGTAATCCACTGTTTTACTACTTGTTACTTTTAAGTTTATTCATTTGAATTGATTAAATTATAATCAGTTGTAAACATTACACTTACTGTATATTTTTATTTTAATTAGAGTTTTTAACTTCTCTGCTCTTCAGAACGACCGCTGTCTGCCCTCATCTAGACAAGTGAGCGACAATTTTAATTAAATACAAAATATAATTATGTTTCAACACATGATATAGTAAATAATAAAACTGTGTACCTAAAATATTATGTTACGGTAATGAATTCAAACCAAAAATCTTGTGAGTAATGAACTGGAGTGGCTGGATGTATAACGACCAACTGTTGTTCAAAAAGCAGAACCTAAAAACGAATTGAAGATTAGTTTTCAATTCATTCATCAATGTGATATCAAATTGATATGTTCGCTCCTGTCTTTGTTATCTTTAACACCGTTTGTTCTGGTTTGGGACTTGGAAATTTCACAAGTTGAAAGATGTGGTATATACTCAGCTTACTTATAGGTTGACTCATATTTTTTGGCCAATTTTATCTAATGTCAATGAACGTAAATTTGGCCGAAGTAAGGAAAATTTAACTCTCTTTACCAAAGTTTAATTTTCACTGAAATGTACATTAAAGAAAAGGTGTTTCACTATGATTGAAAATGTTTTCCAATTTTCGTTTGATTGTTTTGCCACAATCTGGAGTTAACATTCCAACGCATTAACACACAGTTTGAGCGGCCTTTCATGATTCGACACCACGCTCATTCCGCAAAAGCATTTTAATTGCGGTGATTTATTAATTTTATCATTGTGATTAAAATGATCTAGCTTTTTGCATTGGGCTCCCGAAACTTAGAATAGAATCTCGAACACCAACAGACCAAGTATAGGGTAAACTATCCTAATTTCACGCGGTGTTCGAGCTGAAGTAATTTTAGAGTGACCATTAGATCCTCAGAACTTACAACCGTCCAATGATAGCCCACATGAGAGTTGAGACAATGAAATCCACCCTAATAAGGTGCACTATGGCACATGCATAATTTTCAAAATAATATATGTGTTAAACGGAACGCGCGAAATTCATTATGAAGCCGAAAGCAAATACAGTTCAGCACGCTTTGCTTGCGCGCGCCATGCATTGCGCTGCATTATATTTATTAAATTACATATTGCATTGCGCTGAGCTGCATCGAATCCATCATTATGCATCGTTATATGCATGTATGAGTTCGCTGTTTTTATGCGCTGCATATCACTGCATACACACGTGCAATTACATGCACTTATACATGCATAAACTGTAGATCTACTGTGCGTCTGCGCAGGTTATTCGCAAATTTTTGTTATATCGATTTGGCATCTGCAATCTCGGAGCAAACGGGTGACGGGGTGACTAGAGGCATTTTCTAAAGCCGCTTTCAGAAATTCTGTTTCCATGTTAAGTAGTCTAGTCTACCCTTATTTCTTCATAATTTGAGATAGTTTGAATTTTCAACTTTGAAAGTAAATCAATAGACAATATCATTACAATTGCTACATTTAAAAGCTTCATATCTCCACGAATACTTCTGAAAATATCTAGTTTAATATTTGCATGTTGATTATATCATTTATCCAATGAAACATGATAATTGCAGTCCAAAAGCACGAGTGTGTAAGTGATAATTAGATATAGGATAATCTTGAACTCAATCAATGTGTAAGGGGCCATCTACTTAGGACGTCCGCCAAAATAGCAGATTTCCAGACCACCCCCCCCCCTCTCCCTGTCCGGGTGTGTCCGAATTTTCAAAACCATCCCCCCCCCCCCCCCCCCCCCCAGACGTCCGGATTTCCAGCTACTTTTAAAAGTACAAATAAAACCAACTCAAATTCATTGTTAATAAAATGTGTAGTTACTTAAAATAGACAATAAAACATTTAGTGTCGAACAAGTTTAGCACAGTTACACTTAGGTACATTTAAATACTCGTTCAAAATACAGGGATCTAAACTTACAGAGTAATTAGTGTCAAAGAGTTGTAATAAATGGGACTTTTTCGTTAATTCTGCCAAAATTTCCGGACGTCCGGATTTTCAGAAACCACCCCTGTCCGGATTTGTCCGAAATTCCAAAACCACCCCTCCTCCCTATTTGCCGGAGTCCGGACGTCCTAAGTAGATGTCCCCTAACACCTCCAGGCTCCATCACAAGAACAATCTAAACAATTTATTCCCTTTGAATAAATATTACATGTAATTACATATCTATTTCAACTCCAACACAAATTGAACAGCGTGTATATAATCAAACAGACACACGATTTCCCGATAAGATAGAGTTTTCTTAAAATTAAATTCACATATAAACGTTCCTGCTGGCTATGTCTTATTTATTGTGTCACGGTTGCATCGTTATCTTCCGCAATTCCACTTAAAATGACACATACGCTAGTCCTTGTTCTTCCCAACTTTGTCCGCAGAGGTCCTAGGATCAATTTTTCAACGAACTCTCCAAAGCTCTTTAACGATATCATGTAGATAAAGAAGTTAGACATGCCGTTGAGGAAGGGAATGAAGAAGGCAAACCTGGTATAAAACACGAAGAAGAATCCTTGTGTGTTCCTGTTCATATTCGGGTAGAATTTTGTAATAATGGTCTGGTTTAGTGCGTGAGGTCCGAAGGAGAGGAGGTAAGCTAATCCTATGTAGATAGAAGTAAAAGCGCCTTGCACCGTAACAGTTCCTCTCTTCCTGTGAATGAAAATCAGCAGAGCAATCGTGGTGACGAAGACGATGAAGCTAGGGATAACTATAATGCAAGCCACGAGCAGAGGGTGAACCCACCTCCAAACAGGAGCTCTGTGGAAAAAGTGACATCTGTATAACCTGTAATCGAACGTGACACTGGTTTTGTCAACGCAAAGCTGTACTATGGGAATAATACAGGCAATGACCCAAATTACAACAGCAATACAGTTAGCCGCCCTTTTACTCCAGTCAATGGACCAAAAAGGAAAAGCAAGGCACGCCAGCTTACTCATGTGCAGGGCACAGATGAGAAGCAAAGCTGAAGTGAACACCAGAGGGTAGAGATAGTGTTGAATGTAGCAGAACATGTCACCGAATACCCATTTGTCTGCAATCAGAGACACAAGAGTAGGTAGGATGGTGCTGAGTGCCATCAGGATGTCACTCACCGCAATGTTCTGTATCAGAGTCACACTCACTTTATCCAGTGTTATTGCTTTGTACCGGACGGTGGCCAGCAGAATGAACAAGTTCCCGATCAGATTAACAGTGAGAGCTAGGGAGGACCAAGTGATTAGTACATACCTTTCAGCTTTAGTCTTACAGGCGTAAAGAGTGTGGTTCGAGAGAGAAGTGGCTATCACTTATATCGGTTGATCTCAGCAAAAATAATAGTAAATAATGGTGATTTCAGCCATTTTTATACGGTGCCAATATCCATCGTTCGTAAAGATATTTAATTTGTCTGAAAATGAATTTATAGTAGTTCTGCCGAACAATTTGCGTAACATAATGACAAATTAGATAGATTTCAGTCTACTCAAATCAGTCAAAATTGCTCAAAGTATAATAGGTTTGGGTACCCCCAGTTTGAAGTAAATTAGTCAAATCACTAATAGGATGAAAAATGCTCTTAACAATTTATATTAAATGTGCTTTATCGAGTCTCTGACCTATATTTTGATGGAAGAGACTGTAACGCGTTACATGACACGGTCTCTGGTCATAGCTTATAGAATATAGATCATATTACATAACGTGATGCGTGACGCGAGTAAAACCCCGATTTACCGCGGAGTTTGGGAAAAGTTCCGAAAAGGAAATGGCCGCGGTAAATCGAGGTTTGCGGCAAATCGGGGTGCAGTATATCGGGGTTTTACTGTAGTAGGGTGTAGTATGGAGAATGTTCTAGTAAATCAGAAATTACAAATATTGGGAGTATTAACCAAATGTATTCACTCAAACTTCTTGAACAGATGATTCCATAGTTTTCTTCATAGCTTTTGACAGCTCAGAGGCGTTAATCTGAGAGTTGGGGTTGCTGCTGTGAAAACTGCACCGGGAGGAAACGAAACTGCAGTTTACTTATAGTTGCCTAGCTCTTTAGGTTTTGCCCTTACCAATGCTACAAATACAGCTACTACTTAGATCTATAATTAATTGTGTTTCATTTGTTCGCAATCTGACCACTTTTGTATAATAATATACAGTTTCAATTCTGCTTGGTTTCGCTTCTGTTTTTTTGTAAGTTTATATATACGTGTTGTATATGCAATTTTTAGTTTAATCTTCAGAAGGAGTAGTTTCTTGAGCAAATAACAGATGTTCAAATGAGTTCAGTTTTTGGTTCTTAGATTACCGGCGTAGAAAGAGCAAAGAAGTGGCAGATCATATCTTTTAAAACTTTTTCCGGATAAAACAAATAATCTTTCAAGCTATGTTTAATACTTTTTCCTTTCAGCTCACATGTAGTGTTCGGTCACGTGATCGAAGGAGAAAGGTATTTGGACCAGATAGAGCTAATGGGGGTAGATACGGAGCACAAACCGTTTGCAGATATCCGTATAGCAGACTGTGGAATGGTTTCAGGATACGGTAGAGAGGAGAGTCCTGTATCTCTGCCAGTAGTGGTGGTGCCTGCCCCGGTTGCTCTACCGATCCCGTCACTTGCACCTCCAGTTGCTACTGGTTTGTTTGTTTAGTAGCGATTTCGGTTTTGTTTTAAATAAGCTATGCAATGGTGATCTTATGAAATATAACCTGTTTGGGGGCCAGTAACACGGTCGTTTAAGTGCCCCCACCCCCCCCCCCCTGTTCAACTATTGAACAGAGTAACAGATCTTGCCGTAATCAAAACACGAATTAACGCCAACTTCGTAACCTAAACTATCTATCAAATGCCTTTTATTTAATTAAGTGGATATCGAGATATTCGCTAGAAATTTACGTTAAATATTTTTCAGTCGCTCCGTCCATTCCTTTGCTGCACGAAGCAACTCCTGCTGCAATAGAGGTTGTTAAAGACGATAAGAAGAAGAAGAAAAAGAAGAAGAAGAAGAAAAGTTCGAGTGATGAAAGCGATAGCTCGAGCAGTGGCAGTGATAGTTCCGATAGTGATGATAGTTCAGATGACTCCAGTGATAGGTTGAATTTCATGTCGTAAATAGATGAAAACAATAATTATTCTTTTCTTTGTTGTTCTGGATTCTCAAATTTCGAGATATTACTGCTCAATTGTGAAACTTCCAAATCCTATTTTTAAAATAATTATTGATGATCAATATTATTTTCAGTGATAGTGGTAATAAAAAACTCAAGACGAAGAAAAAGAAATTGCTTCGAATTAAAAAGAAGTTGGATAAAATGGCCAAGAAAAAGAAGCTGAAGAAGTCACGCGCGAAAAAGTTAAAACGAGTTGAAGAGAAGATAAAGAAGATTGACAAAATCTTGACTGGGGAAAAGTATGTCACCGACTGACGCGGACAGATTAGCTGTGATAAACGCTTTGCGTTATTATAATATGTTCCAACTTTTCTTCTATCAATTTTATTAAACTAATTTAACTTTCTAGGCTGACGTCAGAGAACGATTCAGAACAGGAAGAAATGAAGAAATCGTATCTTTATCGCAGTAGTTTAACTCCTCCTCCGAGGAAGATTAAGAAACCAAAGAAAGAAAAAGTGGAAAAGAAAAAAGAGGAGAAGTAATTAGAATTACTTGTTTCATGTTGTTAGAATAGGTCATTGATATTTGGCCTATCAAACTTGATTAAGTTCCATGCAGCATGGCTGACGGTTGTTGCAAATTTAATGCCTTAATAGAGAAGTTCACCTGTCAGAATGTTTTTGTTATGATTTTATGGGGTGTTATCGCCATTTTCAATTTTATCCGAGAAATTCTAGATGTATTCTATAGTAATATAACGATGACCCTCTCCACACCTCGCCGTGTGAATAGAATGAAATACTGTCGATCAATTGCTTTCGAGTTTATTACGTGCACCTATAAGTATATAGTGTATATCAGCTATTAAGAAGTTTTGGTTGCGTTTCTATTAGGAAAAGTCTCTGAATCGGTTGATTCTAACTTATACTTTCAAACATACAACTCAATTCCACATTTTTTCAGGTTTTTGGACGACGAATTCTTTGCAAAGCGTGGAAAGGTAAATTAAACTCTTTTGGCCTTGTATACAAATAATGTAGCAACTCTCGTTAAAACTAGACACGTGGTTTTAGTTCTGTTAACAGTTCTGAGTTGTGCTCATATTCCATTTTTCCAGGTAGCTGGAGCGTTTATGGCTCCCATTAGTCAGCTACACGGTCTGGGAGTTGAAGAGTTCTCCCAGACTGGCCCTACTGATAACATCACTGCCATCGTTAACAGAACTAAAACCAACGTGGTAGGAACCGATCTAATCACTACTAATTATGTACTTACTAATTGAGAAGAATGGAAATTTATCATTGACCGTGTAACTGATTTGTCGTTTTGTGTGGCAGGAGATCTTTAACTGTTAGATTCATACAATCCCGTACAATTTTATTATATTCAACAATCATGTATTCTGGGAATTAGAGAAGATAACACACCATGTAGCCCGGTTTTTGTTTACAGGGTCCCGGGGTTGGAGGTCTTGCGAAGGCGAAGAAACTCGGTGTGAACCAAGTAGTTATACCGACTCCCAAAGCCGGAAACATTATTGTGGTTCGTTATTTTCACTCCTCGGTTATATTGCCTGATTCATCTCGTTTATTCACCTTTACTAATATAATATAACTGTGCTGTCACCTGTAATCGACTAGATGTTAATATTCATTTACATTTTAGAATCCTGCTGAAGATCAGACAGATGAAGTCAAGCCAGCAAAAAAGAAAACTTCGAAGAAAAAGGCATCCAAAAAGTATGTAAAAGCACTGAATCTGATAAGATAACTATCAGTTAAAAGGGGCCGGGGTCTTCCTGAAAATTATCTCAACATTGACTTAAGATTGATTAATTGCTAGCAATTACATTACAATTAGATCTTGTCAATCTTCGCCACGACGATCTCAAAGCAAGGCGGTAACCCAACGGGGAATGCCCCAAGCTCACAATTCTACTAGTTCTAAGAATCTGTCCCTCAGAACAGAGAATTCGTCCTCTGAAAGCTCCGATCCAAGCTCATCAGAATCAGAATCACAGTCTAGCGAGGAGGAGAAACCTAAAAAGAAAAAGAAGAAAATAACCCCGAAAGAGGAGATTAAACCTAAACGGTATTTTACTCAATGATTTAAAAGATTAGGGAACAACCTCGATAAGTTATTTTATCTGATAATACGTATAGAATCATTTATAGCTGAAATATTACTTTTATTTTTTCGATCGCTTAAATAAAATGTTTTAGAACTTCGTCAAAAGCGAGAAAATCGAGTTCTAAGTCCAGAAAGAAAGAAGAAACACCTCCACCTCCCGTTAAAAAGATACGCAAAGTTAGCCCTGTTAAAGTGAAAGCCAAATCAGTCAGTAAATCTCCGAGCGCATCAAGTAGTCAATCCAGGTCAAACACAAGGTCGAAGAGCCGATCAAAGTCACCATCTCCGGCAAAACATGATAGGAAGCCGAGAGGTTCTGGACGGCAGAGGAAAGATCGAGATCGCAAGAAGAGATCAAGGAGTAGGAGCAGGAGCAAAAGTAAGAGCAGGAGCAGGAGCAGAAGCAGGAGTAGAAGCAGAGACAGGAGGAGAAGGAGGTCTCCATCAGGATCCAGACGAAGACATGATGGTGGGCGCAGCAAGAGACGGTCTAGGTCCAGGAGTTCCAGCTCCAGCGGATCAGATGATGACAAGTAAATTTAACATTCTTGGGGTAGTTCATTGAATAAAGGTCTTTTTTATTGTGAATCAACTATACCTTATTCTAAAACTTTTAATTCAGTAACTTTTAAATTGGTAATTTTGCTTCGTCTTCAGATATTCGGGGATTATGCGGTCACGTGGCCGAGGACAAGGCCGAGGACAGGGCCGTGGACAAGGTCGAGGACAGGGCCGAGGACAGTGGAGGGGTCGCGGTAGAGGAGGCGGGGGCTATAACCCTAACTACCGGAAGTGGGATTCAAATTACAAACCCAAGCCCCGTTTGTACAACTCAGGGAATTCACACTCAGGGTTCGCTCCCCGAAGTGTTTGGGACAAGAGTAAGAAGGATGATGACAGGAGATCTAGGAGTCCTAGCCGAAATGATGCCGACAGTAAAATGTATGATTTGAATTATTCTTTACTGCATCACAAAAATTATGTCAATAATTTAAGCATGTGTAATTTTTATTGATGTGTGAAAATTCGATTGGTTTCTATTCTTTCACAATTAGAGATATCAACTTTTGCATTAAATCTTAAATCAAATTTTTATTGTTTTTGACTCGTACGGCAATATTTCTTGGACACGAGTTTATTGTTTATAAAGGCCCTTCCATGGCTGTTATTAACGACAGTACCATTCATCAGGAGTTCAGATCAGAATGAGAGAAGGAATGAGGACAGAAAGCAAGGAGATAACCAAAGTAAGATCCTGCCTGTAGATGACAGTTGCATTTGCTTTGGTTGAATCTTTGAATTTGTTGTATTTTATTAGGGTCCCCACTTCCCATAGGATATCAATAATTTAAAACTAACACACCTAAATCAGATAGCCCTTCTTACGAATGCAGTCAGGTTATTTTATACAGATTGTATCGAGATATCATGTGGTACCTGGTTGCAACTCATAGAAACTAGGCAAAATAGAGTCATACTCTATTGGCCTGCAACTTCGGCAGAGCTATTGATTCCAACCTTCTGAAGAACGTCTTGAAGAATGAGAGAAGCCAAACATTGCGAACGGAGATTGACGTAGTTTTGTTATGTGTTTTAATATCCGCTTTGTTTTTTATTTTGATGATCCATTTTGTTTATAATATCATTCTGTAAAAAGATCTCATCCAAATTTTCACGCCTCAAAGTGTATTAATGTGTTTTTATATCGGCCCAAAAATGTCTTATATTGTACAAATATATATCTCATGATGGGCTTTCTAAACTTTGATATTATCACATAAAAAGTTAAAAATAATTGTTGACAATCTGAGAGTAGAGTGTAGACGGCTATAATTATAAAAACTGAGAATCACTCAGTCACTTCAAAGTTTTACCTTCGTGATCACCGTCACATTCGTGATAAATAATAACCAATTCGGAAATTGACGGCATCTTACACTCATAGATTTAGTTGGCTCATTTTTTATTCAGGTTCTATTCGAGAAAGGGTCCGGCTCAACGTTGTCAATAATTTCATTGGATGTTTAACAAAATGTTTTTAAAAATGTTAAATTGTCCGATTTTCCCCCCAAAATTGACAAGAATTTCCTTAATTTTGTTGATATTATATTATTTATAAACACATTATTGGAACGAATTTGATTTAAAGCACCAAATTAACACCTTTCCATTTCAGCCTCCTACATGGACGATGCTTCTATTCGGAAACCTGTCAGATCTAAAGCAGGTTCGTGGTCTCGGTTTAGGTTGCTATCTGGCGGACGGCGGTTATTATTTGTTTTTAGGTGTGATTCGTCACGTGTCTACGAGCCTATCAATGTTTTCGCGTGTATCAGGCTTTGCATCTGGTTAAATACCTTATCAATATGACTTGTTCACGTTACAGGCTACTGGCCCCGTCTTTGAGTAATCTCCATCTCCACTATGCGCTTCAATTAAATATGGCCCTATTCATTGTAATCTCACTAATTAGCCTAATCAGCATGTACTAATTAGCCTGCCCGTTTGTAGATGACGGGGTGGAAGTATCATGGAACAAGTATAAGAGTGTTCGTCTTGCTCACGCAGGTGAATTGTTACCTTCATATTATCTTGAATCTAGTGGAGATGGAGTTTAAATTTAAGAAAGCATCGGCATTAAATAAATCACTTAAAATTGTTGAAATTAATAGGTTTAATAGCTTACATTTAAAGCTTACATTTACATTATAGCACACATCTCTAACTTATCTCCGTTGCCAGGCATGAGGAGCAAATGGTCAGAAGATGAGGAAGACAAGGTTAAAATATCAGCGGGAAATGGAGCTAAGAAACGTTCTGATAGCAACACCCAGGAGTTCCCTTATCCAAACGCTGTTGAACCGAAAGACGGTAAAAATTGTTATTTTTATATGCTTGTTGAGATTTATTTGCATGTTTGTAAAAATCAGTTTTGCGCTTTGAATCAAGTCTGTAGTACGAGCATTCATGAAAAGGCCAAGCATTGTATTCGTTAAACCGCAAGCTCTCCATGAAGAAGTTTGTAACTGTATTTTTATTCCAATTATTTATAACAGTTATTGCTTACTAGCATAGTTAAACTGTAGACTGTAGACGCCTGTCAAATTAATGTTATCGGCAGCAATAAACGTCGGTAATGGCGGGAAAGTAAGAAATTTGTTTTGACACGTGACGTCCTACATTCATAATCTTTTCAGGAAAATCAGATGCCTTACTGACAGAGTATAACAGTCCTAAAATAGATTTCTCTTGACGAAGAATTCAGTTCTAAGGATTTCATCACAAGAGCAAGACTCGACCAACAGTGGAATGCGTCACAGACTTTTTATTTATTTCTATTTCGTCGGAAGCTGAACAATTTGTGGAATGTCACGAATTTTTGACAGAATTTATTGTTTGAAGCTGCGAGAACATATTTGTAACATCCACAATTCCACACTTAATACACATTAAATAGGAGACTTCTGCTCCGATTGTTTTGCGCCGTTAAAGTTAAACTTCAATCAACGATTGATTTTCGCTTGTTTTGGTTAAAAGGGGATAGTTGTAACTTCTTCTTACTTTGACCGTTGATTTAAAAGGGTATCTTATTAATTTATACATGTTTAACTAAATTATTACTATAGCTACCAACACCAAGACATCGTCGTGTTTTTGAATTTTGTGTTCACGTTAACCCCTGCCGTTACTACATATAAATATAATATGCGTATGAGTAATGAGATTCGATGAATTTTAGTGGATTTCGATCCATTGAGACGTTTACTCTTTAATTATCTCCTTCGCACCACTCCTATAGTATTACCTTGAATGATAATTGTAATTTGGAAGCGAGATTTTTCATTTTATCAAACTTTTTAATTCTCGATTTTCTTTTGTCAATGTCTTATCGTGGGAGCTGTTCACTTTAATTCACACCGTTAAGGATTTGGCACGAAAAAACGAACTTTTACAGTTTCATTCCTTGTGAAATGTGAAGAACTCAATTTAAAAAACGTTTACAAATGCTGTAAGTAAACTATTAAGAGACAATAAAGAATCAAATTTACAAAAACTGACCGCATTTTGCGTTCTTCGACTTAAACTTAAAGTCATACATAGAACTAGACGAATCATGTGATAGACGTTTAAAAAGTTCTACAAATTGGTCAATTTCTATTGCTGTAAAAGTACACGTGTGCTGTAATAGTACACGTGTGCTTCAACAGTCGTACAGTGCATGTGTGACGATAATTGGCGGGTTTTAAAACATGAGATGAAGATGTTGAGAGGCATAAAAACTATAAACGCTGTTGGCCCATAAAAACTCATGCTTCATAGTCATTAAAAATTCACGAAAGCTATGGCAATTTTTGTCCAAGTTTTACAACTGTCCCATTTATCGTCAATAATATCAGTATCACTGATAATACCCCTCCATACTCGAGCGTGCTAAATCACTCTACAGTCGATCTTCGAAATTGTTCTAAAAGGGTCCCCGACAGTTGAAACCAACTTCAATAGATTTATTTTCGGACGCTGATTCCGAATCACCCCCCATGACTAAGGGTTAAAATGCTCCCCTGACGAGATATTAGCGAAAAACTGTTTTGATCACGTGATATGACCGTATAAGGAAGTTAGTCTAATTTCTCGATAGGGTTAGGGTTTCAGCATATGCTTTTGTTAAGGTCAAGGATTGGGTTAGGGTTAGGGTTGGGATCAGATTAAAGGGTTAGGGTTTCGAATACTAATAGTCGTTCAGGACCAGCTAGAGAACGGGTTGAAAAAGTCAGGTGACAGTCGAGTGTAGAGTGATTAATCATCATCCCTCCATACTGCCTCTGGCAAGCCAAAGTTCGTATACCAGTAGCAATAGTATAGTATAGCCACGATCACTGATTGTCGGTATTTCCTGTAGGATTATTCGGGACAACTACAACATTCCCGGCATAACCTGTGTGCATATTCAATCTTATTCTGTCATAAGTACATTATCAGGTGCTAAAGTTCAAATGTTGGGTAATTGGTGGCCTGGAGGATGTTTCAGTTTATCCACCTTCATGAAAAGTTTACAAACCCTTTGTTCCACCATGATATCCCTGGCAGTATTTGCCATACTCAACCGTCTGTGTTCCTCAGGGTAAGGTTCAGTGACCGTGTTATTTCTGTTTTGTCTCAGGACGGACCAGAACCCGTTCTTTATAACACTGGTGTTGATACGATGTGAGGACCTGGGGTGACGGCCCGCTGACCTACTCATCTTGCTTGAGGAAATGTCGCCTCTCTTGTCGGACACTGTGCTGCAACTGCTGGCTCCAGCTGACCCTGGCTTTGGTCTGAGTTTCCCTGAAAAGGGTCTGTACAGTTCCTCCTCTTCGGACTCTGAGTCGGAGTGCAGTGAGTTTGATTCTATGGACATTTTGTTGAGCCGTTTGCCAAGCCATGCGTCCTTGATGTGAGGTGATTTCCTGAGTTTTGTTGGCCTGGGTCGCTTGTTCCTCATGTCATTGTCAGCCGAACTCTGGAGTGCACTGGACGGAGCTGACCGGATCCTGAAATGAAGTTTTGTTAAAAACTTGGAAAGCTTTGGGAAAAGGGGTTCATGAAATTGTGTCTTAAGCATGAGCAGAAGTCAAATAAAATTGAAATAAATCTGGCATTTAAAACCTTCTTAATTGTCTAATATTAATTTCGACACATTTTCCATAAATATAATTTACACTACTAAATATTACTCATTATTGCAAAATTTATCAACGGCAGCTATAGAAATACTCCAGAACAACCGGACTTTTGAATTTGGTAGTTTTTTATAGTATAAACATAGCCTGCAAGTGGAAATAATGTTCCACTAAACGAAGTATTTTGTAACCCGCTTAAAAATTCCGTTGACTGAAACAGAGATAATCCGTAATACTTGGCTGTTAGAGATGATAAAAATGCGAACCATTGGCATATTATGCACTAATTGCAGTTGCACTTGCTGAACCCTCGAGAATACGTATATTCAGCTTCAGAATTCAGAGCCCAAAAGTGCACAATTTATGATTTATAAAATCTACGTACAAGTTTTTTTGTATTATTTCCAAATTTCCAAGCATCCTAATAGAGCAAACAATTTGTTTTTGATGGCACAATAAAAAATCAAACGCTTATTAATTCAGCAACAACGAATAAACGAGGCTAACACTTACAGCTAATAATCCATAAAAGTGTGCTTCAACAATAAAGATAACATAAAAAGAGTAAAAGTTCGTTTCACGTTTCCATACAATTTAAAATTGATAAAATACGATCGTCCACATAGTATTTCACTTTTATTTCACGCACGTATCTCACAGAGATTTATAAAAAACGTAAATATTACGTTTCTCTCTCCTTAGTTACCTGGTAATTGCTCTACATTTGGTCATCGCTGATTGGTTGACGTTTCTAGTTCCTTCTGGAGACAGCTTTCTCTGCTCATCGTGCAGAACACTCGTGGTTTTGTAGTCTAGGATAAAACCCATAGCCTCTTTGTATCTGATAACAAAGGGGCGTTTAAATTTATGTCCACTGATCACAGAAAAGGGGTCTGGAAGTGGTTGGGAAAAGGAAAATGTTAAGTATCGGGACAGTAGACCCTTGAAACTTTATGTCTGTAAATGGTAAAAAAGTAAATTTCCAGTTTTGAAATTGAGGGATCATTTACTTTACTCGCCTTCTGTCAAGATGATTCATCTCCTTATCATTCTCTTTAGGATTCCTTGTCTTGATGAACTCTTTCTCTCGGTTAATCGAAATCTGTACTCGTTTGTTCTAAGAAAATTGTACAATTTATAAGTCTGTCACTGGTTTAAAAAAATCTAATCTCCATCTTGATTAGAGAATCAACCTGTTAATTCCCAAAATGATCCCATCCACAAACCCATTAAAAGCTAACCCCTTACTTGGTTATTGAGGTAGGTAAGTTTTCTTTCCAGAAGTTTTTCCTCCTTCCTGTTGCTGAACCTCGCTCCTCGCCTGCTATCATCTAACTCTCTGAGTCTCACGCCTGTTCCTGACCTGTGGTCTACCACTGTGCCGTGTGAAGACATCCTGGTAACAACAACTATGCAGTGTAATATTGGTATGGTGGTATCAATGGGACCTGATATTAAATACACATAATATTAATATGTAATAGAACTTTGACCACATTAAGTTATATGTTTAAGTTGGAGCCGTAGTATGTGACCACTAAAAATTGCACATGCGCTGATCTGAGCATGTTTTGAAAATTCAAAGCTATGACCGATCAAAGCGGATGTAATGATAAAATAATCTGACCAGCAACGGTTTTTAATGGAGCTGTCGAAGAAAACATCATTTAAAACCTATATATTTTAAACCTTGAAGTATGAGTCAACAGATTTTGCTTCAAGTTCATAAGCAACATTATAAAATACCGCAAATTCAGGTGTCGAGGTATCATCAAAGTGTGTAATTGATATCACAGCAGCTGCAAGGATTGCATCACAACAAAATTAGCAATTCATTAGAATTGTGCTACTGTCAACTATATATTATATATGTTTCCTTTTGCATTTGACCTCATAAAATTTGCAATTGACAACAATAAATGTTATGCAGAAATTGCATAACATCATATTCATGTTATGCTGACTAAAAGTAAACGGAATCTGATGACGTTATTTGTGTGTTGTGATGACATTGACAAAGCAAACGGCAAATAATTGCAAGAAATCGCAGAGGACACAACACAAAGTCAGAAAGATCATTTCCACAGAAAGAGTCGTGATCCCTCGTAAAACCACCGCATCTGTGACCACCAACAATTTTAATCTTTCATTGCTTTAAATTCATGGCACCTCAAGAACGCATAGTGGTCAAAAGATTGGATATTCATATTGCTATCAACGTTTATGGCGGTCAACTATAAAACGGCAGAACGAATAATTTTAGTAGGCACATCATTTAAATTATAGACAAAAATCGTTTAACTTTTGTTTACTGTCTGGCTCGACAAAGCAATTGAAAGTGGATCAAAGTTCGGCGGTAATATTATCAAAACTAAACTATCCCTCCTTTTTTATAAAACAATCCCTCCTTGTTACTCCTAACCTAGTTCACAGAATTTAAATTCGTCGGAAAACAGCCAAACCATTTTCGTGACTAATAATAATGCGGAGCAATACGTCTGAATACGATCTGAGGTTTTGCATTAGATTGACTCAGCAATTTCTGGTTGACTAAATCGGCAACATGACCGCTGAGTTACGACCGCTGAGTTGGTAAACTCAGACAACCACAGACCACTCACAAGCTGGTCACTGACACTACTGCGTCATGGAAACGAACTTGCAGAGTGCTGTCTGTTTGGTTACCATGGCGATATGTTAAGTAACCATGGTGGTCATACTAATAGGTCCTTGCTAAATGTTTATTTTTCCCGTAAAAACTTTCATTAGTTGATTGGATGGAGGGACTGTGTTTACTATAACTAAGCCAGTTTGTAACGTCACCACCACAATCGTCACCTAGTTTTGTTACTATAGAGATACAGAAACTGATTAAATTTTTGAGGATTTCACACGGTACGTCATAGACATAACAACGAGTCTTGGTTATAATCATATGGACCAAGTTGCACCGTGCTTCGCTTCATTGTATCTCACAATTTGACGACTATTGGTTGCGTCATCAGTATGATTTTATACTCAGGATTAGCGGTACGACGTATTTACTTTAAGTTAAATATATTTAAGTATTATTCATGGCCATGCCGAAGACATAAGTAAGGACTAAGAATGACGAAGAGTCAGGAGGCCCAACTGCATACCAACCTTGGAATTATAAATATAAGTATAACATCGCAGTGCCAGTTGATCAGTATACAAAATTACTAGAGAAGTCCTAGTCCCTGACTAATTGTAATTCAAGTCAACTCCTCAAATAGGACTACAGTCTGATGCTGATATTATATCTCTAATTATTTTATGTGAACATTTTAAGATTTACTTTAGTACAGTTAGATCAGAGTAAATAATATCTGAATTCTGACATGACTCATTCTATGTTTTTGTTTTTAAGTCGTTCCATAAATATTGTTGGTGAAACTTAAAAGGATAAACAACTTTTTCTGTTATAAAACATATGCTTGTTATATCAAGACTAAACAAATTCAGTTAAAACTAAAATGACGTGATCGTTTATTTCACACCCGAAATTCACAAACATCCGAGCTAAAAACAAACACGTAACAAAGCATGAAAGTACAGCATGAAAGTACACCTGAACTGTGAAGCTACCACTACCAGCAATTAGCAAACTTCTTGTTCGTCATTTAAAAAATCATTAAAATATTTTAAACGTTGCACGTGCCAGGTCTCAAGCATCTCAGAAAAGAAAGACGACTAGTAAAACGTGCTTCAACTGCAGACTCCTCAAGCTTCTACGTCACGTGACCTCTTCTAGAGTGTTGAGCCGCCTTTCATATCAACAGAGCATAATAATCCAAAATGGTAACATGTTATTTCGTGAATTTCGTCGTGCGCCTCATCGTATAGGTTGGAATCAAATGAAAACTTGAAACTGCAGTGGATGATTTTGTTTAATTTATCAAGGTGTGTTATTTTTAATAATCAATGATATTATCTAAAGTCAAACACCAGATTCAATGTCTGTGATGTCGAGTGAACATTGCATGTAACAAGCACTGCATTGAAATAACTATATTTAACTGTGAACAATTATATAAAACTAGCAGGAACCTGTCTAACCCTAAACTACTAAAGTGCAGTGGTACCAAGAGACAACAATATTTATTTATTTTGCGATTTTGATACCACTTTGGGGTTTAAATTTTGGGACCTAACGTTTTTGTTCCTTGGTAAGTTTTCATTTCTTCATAGTTAGCACCTAAAGTCCTACTTTCCAGGTAGTTGGGGGGCTGGTTGTGATCGCCTACATTGGCATCATCAGGCTTTATTTACATAAACATTCAACATTCAACATCACTATCACTATATTCAAAGGTAACAATATAAAAGTAGATCTAGATGACCGACGCGACAACAGAGTTTGGTACAATGCATTATTTAGCCAAACGTGTTTGTACAATTGAAGAGACGACGAGATTAACGAGAAGGTATATTATTGATTATAGATCAGGGCCACCGTAAGCAGGCAGCAACCAATACAATCGACCCCCTCCACAACTACCACAGACGTGAGCCACAAGACGTGGCTGCTGAAGTATTGATTACTAACTGCGCGCAGCACACGTGCACTTACTAGTAGTCTGTTCACGTGACTCAACTGATTTGTAATTCTACTAATTTCATGTCACCTGACCAGCTACTTTGTTATAGTTATACTTATAGAAACGCCACGTTTACTTGTTACTAGCTGTCATCCCCGATATGTGTATGTGCATATTGTGCAGAGCTATTGAAAATTCTTCAATCTTCATGAGTAACCTTTATTTTTGGCGAAAGTTTGGCAACTGAAAAGTGATAGACAAGAATGAAAAGGTTGTTAAACTTTAAATTAAATGCAATATTAATGAATTTCAAAATTAAATATTCGTGAATTGAAACTTTTCGCAATTCAGTGGCCATCACCTCTCCTCATTTTTCTTCTCTTCCCTCAATTATTCTGATTCTTAACTCTCATAATTATGCCTTCTGGACGAGTAGAACTTGAAGGTGATAGGCCACATGTCATTATTTTTGTCGTAGAGTTAGCAGTTTTTTTTCAAACTTTTGGTAGTCATGACACCGACATGGACATATCCATACCCCTCTGTCCGAACTTGTCGCTGAAGATGTTCTGAAACTCGATGTCAATATCTTCTCTGTCACTCTTAGTCTTGATCTTTCTTGGTCTTCTTTGCCTCGGGACGACGCGTTTCTTCTTTCCTTTCTTCCCTTTCTTGTTGTCCCTGCAAATCCGTTGGTTCACATTTCAGGGTAAGGGGTACCAAACTCCTAAGATATTCTAACGAATTCAAAGCAAATAAGAAGAAAAAATGTACCACTTTTTTGCATCTACTCACTTGCAAACACAGTAAATTCCGATAAAGATGAGGATGAATGCCCCCAGAAGAATGTAATACACGTAATGAGTAAGAATATTTCGGATAACTTGTTGATCCGTTAACTGCTCGGTAACTGTTTTCTGGCTGATGGTGACGATATCTTTATTAGGTGGTTCGGCTGCTAACTCCTCGTATTCTTGGAGTGACCGGTATATTCTCATGGTCTGAGGATAGCTTCTGGTTAAAGTGATGCAAGATGGTGGATTTGGAATGTTTTATATTTATCAAACTAAAAGTAAATCTTAAAATCCTGTGAATGTTCGTTTATTGTTGATAGTTAAGGTAACCGGTCAGAATCGCCAAGCCGGCAATAAACTTTGAAGTTTCATGCTCCATTACTTTTTGAAAATCACCGATCCAAAATGTGAAAATGCACAGCTGCCTTCTGGATAAATAAACTGACCGTCGAAAACTCAAAAAAACAGGATTTACCAAAAGAAACAGCTAATTTAATAACTATGGAATGAGAAGTAACATGACTCAAGAAACGTAAAACTAGAGAGTAGACTAGAAGGAAGAGAATTTGTCGCTGAAGCGATAAAAGTGCTTCCTATAGATATATTAATATTATACACGAATACAACACGCCTGAAATTAGAGATGATCTCGTTGTAGGAAAGTAAACACGCGTCTAAGTAATTGTTAAGGTTGCAAAAATGCAGCAAAATATTCATAGGTTAATGATAATGCATGTTCTAGATTTATAAGTCACGGTGACTAATCGGCTGCTAATTTAAAACAGGAACTTCAAATCTTAAAGAAAGGTGTAAGACTGAGATGCATAATTTTTTACAATTCTGAATTCCTCAATTAGGACTATAGCACACTACGAAACCTTCAGGATCACACACAAAATGAACAATAGAAGTAATAGCATACCTAAACGGACTGGAGAGCTCTCCCTCTCTCTCTCTCTCTCTCTCTCTCTCTCTCTTTACACCGTACAATGTAATGCTATAAGAACTCCAGCTGCTAGATCTAAGGGAGGATCATGTTACATACGAACCCGCTGTCACGAACACACACATATATATGATACTCCATTATTAGTTATTACACCCCTAACAATGGTTGTGATAGGATCCTGTTTCAGCTGCTGTCTCTCGCCCGTCCAATTCCATTTCTGATCGACCACGTCTCATCTGATCAGGACATTGGCAAAACGAGACTCCTTATTGTTCCTGAAACGGGATCTATATGTTAGTGTGATCATGTTGCTAAAAGTAAAACGGGTTCTAATTCTATGAATAACTCATAAAAAACGGGTCCTTTGTACAATATTGCACTCTTGGTCTTCTTCATGACTAATGTGAACAGTAACACTTTTCGGGATCACTGTGCTTGAAGTGCACCCTAGTGCTCACACTGTGCTCAGTGCACACTGTACACTATACCTACAGTAATTACAGGTACCGGATATTTTGCCCCTTTACATTACGAATATCTTAATCTTTTATCTTACAGTGCACATTTGCTGACAATATACGCAGCGACCGGTATGTTTCCACAGTATTAAGCGACATCGCAGCTGTATGTAATACCTTGTCCGTTCAAAACAGCATCAACCGTCAGAACTGACATTTTACTGTTACTGGCAAGATCGAAAGTACCCTCGACAATCTTAAAGTCGTACCTCCTGACCAGACTAACTGTGCCATTTGCACTTGTATTGGTTCGTCAAGAGTTCTATATAATTTATAGCCCCAAGTAAATTTAGCTGCACTTGGATACTTGTAAGGACGGTAACCGTGATCTGATGTTAAATATCCGTACCGTTACACTGTGTCGATTCTCCGTATTTGTTTGAGGCTCCACTCTAGCTAAAACTAAAACTAAACGAAGAAGGAAAAACACATTTTCAAGCAAACAAGGTAGGGATATTATACAGGGCCTGTAGACCAGTTACGACACGAGAGTTTTACGAGGTCTGAGTTCTGACTCTGAGTCACTGACTTGACGACAGTCCAATTGTTTTAAGAGTGATTCATGGTGAAGCTTTAAGAATTGCATTAAACTTTAATCACAATATTAATCATGCAGTTTCAATCACAACGACCGGAATCCGGATTCGGTCTTATTCTAGGAATATTTTTGGGTTATCGTGTCATGCGCGAATTGGAGTATGGACCATGGAATGATAACTACAGTTGCAGCTAATTGAACAATTAAGAGACAGTACTTTTAGGGACGTCGGGGTAAATATACCGACATAATGGTAAATATATTAACGGCTGTTCGGAACGGTGCCAGTAAATATCACCTTTAGCGGGGTGTTAGTTTTTTAGAACTTTATGGCCATGGTTTAAATTATTTTGAAACCTGATCAGAAGGACCGAGATGAAATAAAACGTGTGACTGCAAATCAATACCGTTGGGAATACAGAAAAAAAAATTCTTAATAATAGAATAGAAATGTTTTTGGTCGTCATAAACAGAAACAGTACTCAAATTAAAGTAAAAAAGCGTTCTTCTTTGGAGGTTAATAGAAATATAATTGACTGGAGCTGGTTGAGTCTTGTAACGAATCTCAGTTCAGTAACGGACTGAATAAATATCAAAGCAACCCTAGTTTTAAAGCACTCCAGCTAGTCCGTGGAAACCTGAACATCTTCACCGCCCAAAACTTGGGACTTTTGTTATCAACTTATAGTGTTTTATCTTAATTGCCTTAAGTTTTTTTGATAACATGCATAAAACGTAGTACCAAAAACGTTACATTAACCTTTAACAGCTAACTCATTTCCAACGTTGGTGATGTATAAAGGTTTAATAAACTTGTAAACAACGTTACAAACCCAAGGCCAACGTTGCAAAGTGTAAATTCCAACCTTAATACAACGTTTATCCAACGAGCTTTGCCGGCTGGGAATTGCAGGTGCAAAATTAGGGGGCTAATGGACGATGGCTTGCGAAGTGCAAAAAATATGAATTATGCATTAGTCCGACTGACTATTACATGAACTTGAATTAAACTTAAGCCTCTTCAGGGAGAATAGCCTTGGCGAAGGTTCACACTAGTACCTCGCATGTTGGATATAAAGAAGCAATCTCACGACTTGAAAAGTTGAGTCCAGAAAATTGTCTTGTCCTGGTGGGTGATTTATCAATAACGATAGCACAGCTGTTAGTGTTATCTAAATTAATATTTATTTAATATTGCTCCGTTTCCACACAGTCTACATATGTTTCACTTTTTATTCAATCCTTTATCGATTAAGATAAGAAATAAAACTCGGAAAGTTTCTAAGTTGTTCCTACAGGAAACAAACAAAATTTAATATCCATTATTTTATAATTATAAACCATTTTAAATTATTTTTAATCATTCAATGTTTGAAAATTCATAAATTTATCAAACCGTGTGCCAAATAAATCCCGAAACCGCAGGCTTTAAAATGAAATTTAACGTTCGGTTTAATAAATAAACAGATCTTAAAGAAGTCGGAAAATCGTAAACGTCCCATTAATAGACATTATGTTCATCTGTGAAAATGTTTCTATCCATGAAATCCATTCATGACTCCAATCACAAAGTCGTCATCATCAGCGTAACACATCATGTCACCCCCGCCGAAGGGTCTCACAAAACCACCAACTGCCCTCTTTCCCGGGTATCCTGCTTCCCATTTGTCGATCCTGTAGTGTATGGTGAAGTACTTGTCTACGGAAGCCTCTTTCGTAGGGAACTGGATAGCTCCGAAAAGCTCTGGGCAGCTTGATGATGCGTGGCTTTCGATATTCCAAGTGACTGCGAAGGAGCCTACTACCCTGAAATATAATTTCATTTTAAGAGACGATTGTATTTGTACATGTAATGAATCGAAGTTCTGTCAACGAATAATTAGGTGATAAAAATGTGTAAAAATTGAGATGAAAAGAACGGTTAATTACAGGACCATTGGACCAATTTGAGACCCAATACTTACTCCGATGTTGAGATGAAAGACGCTCTTAGTAAAACGTTGGCTTCCACATCCAGGGACATCTATGTAGAAATCTTCAGCACCTTAGAGTTAGAGGGGCCGAGAGTTTCATGTCAGTCATTATATTTATTATAAAATCTTCGTTTATTTTGGAAGATGGAATGCAGGAGCAAGGTCTACGAATAAATGTAATTTAAAAAAATAGATAGATATTTAATAAATGAAAAAACCTGCTACTTCAAGTAGCATGTTTTCAATTTTGCAGATATTTTAACGTATTACCTCGAAGTGCACTGACGTGAAGTCCACCGGGTGCAACCTGGAAGAGGTTTGTTATTCCAATGTATACTGAATCAGCCAAGAAGAACTGGAGGTTCCCCTGTAAGAACATGCCCGTATACTGGGGTGTGCTCCCCCAGGCAATGTTCATGGTCGGTTGGAAGTTCTCCCCCATGCGGTACGCCAGATCGGAACGGTGCCAGTAAATACCATCTTTGTTGGCAGTGTCGGTGAAGCTGAAGATTTTATATTTAGTTTTTTATGTGTTAGCTCGCGTAATCTTAAAATTTGGCACACCAAAATAAACTTGGTACTCAAAATAAAATTAACACTGTTAATAGTGGAAAATTTTGTTAATCGCTTTATTGATATTATTTTAAAATTTCGTCGCCCTAAAGAAAAAGAAGCTACTTTGCACTGGACCTAGGTGTGAACCAGCTGGTTGAAGCTTGAGAGATCCCCAGGAGCAATGTCACCAGAGCTATCAGTCGAATACAACTTATTGCCATGGTTTAGATTATTTTGAAACCTGATCAGAAGGACCGAGGTGAGATAAGACGTGTGGTTACAATAACGTTGGGAATAAAGAACTAAATCTTAATAATCGAATAGAAATGTTTTTGCGGTCGTTATAAACAGCAAAAGTACTTAAATTAAAGAAAAAAAGCGTCCTCTTTTTTAGGTTAATAGAAATATTGTTGATTGGAGCTGGTTGAGTCTTGTAACAAATCTCAGCTCAGTAACGGACTGAATAAATATCAGAGCAACCTTAGTTTTAAAGCACTCCAGCTAGTCCGTGGAAACCTGTGTGGTACATCTTCACCGCCCAAAATTTGGTACTTTCTTCGTCGACTAGTGTGTTATCTTAATTACATTGCAGGTGAGAAATTAGGGAGGCTAATGGACAATGGCGTGCAAAATGCAGATAATACATAATTATGGTTACATTAGTCCCACTATGACATGAACTTAAATTAAACTTCAACTCCTTCAGGGAGAATAGCCTTTGCAAAGGTTTTATTCGCAGTACCTCGTTTGTTGGTTATAAAGAAGCAATCTCACGAGTGGAGTCCAGAAAATTCGTTTAAAATATAATTGTTTTTCCCTGATGGAAACAGCTGTTATCTTTATTAACTTAACAAATTCTGCGCAGGTAATTAAAATTATAGCACTGCAAAAATATTTTTACCAAGATGAATTAATTCCGAAATTTGAAATGGCATTATTTCAAATATTATGTTATACGTATTCAACGATCTCAATTTAAAATTCGAACAATTATCTTCGGATATTTGTATTACAATAATTAGGCATGAATTTCCAAACATCGCGATCGGTTAAAATTTCCTGCTCAACATCTCAGCAATTATTGTAATGTAAATTGGCACTCTCATCGTCCAAAATAATTATCTAAACATCTGCGGTCGTAAAATAATTGAAATTTAATCACCGAAATCGACCCTTCCTTGCATTTTGTCTCTACAGCTCAAGCTTTACTATTTACTGTCTATACTAGTATGCTAATTATCTCAAGATGTGTGTTTGTGTATTCGTTCGTTCGCGTGTAATTTCTGAACGGCTTAATGAAGAAAACAGTAAGAGTTACGGGGCTGGTTTTTTCGGTATAGTGCCAACAAAACTCTGACCAAGCCAATTGATTGAGGTTTTTTAAATCAGCCGGTGGTAAGTGGTTTAATTGATCATTTTGTGACCCAAATGTGATACTAAAGTGTCTCACGCACTCTCGCTCTCTCCCACTCTAGGCTCTCTCTGCCCCCCCCCCCCCCCCCCCATACATAACAGATTTGCGATAAAATTATGTAATTTGTCAGTGGACCTCAAGATTGGCTATCAAATATTACTATAAGATATACAGGGTGAGTTGAAAATAGTGTGTGGAAAGTAAATGGCTCTAATTTTTTTGACAAATGAAATTTCCACTTAATTTTTGCATATTTAGGTAATGAAAATATATACTTTTTATAATAATACAATTAAAATACTTAATAATTAATAATTTGCTCAACCCATCGTCCTTTATTAGTAGGACATATTGATAACGTGTAAGACAATTGTCTATAGCCGACTTGACTGTATTATGGGGGCAGGGGGGTCTTCATGGAAATTTTCTCAAAATCTACTTTTTAGTCAGTTGTTTCTGATAGAGGGGAGTTATATCTATCAGATGCTTTTGATGCCGTGGAAAAATATCGTTCCTAGCCGAAATTATTGCCGGTCAAAGGTCAGCGCGTGTGTGGTAATTGTATTGCGCGAGCGATTTTTGATCGCGTGCCCTGAAAATCGAGTCTAAAAATCTATTTTCTCCTACATTTTTTGAGCAATCACCCTGAAACTTTCAGTATATGTTCTAAGGATCATTTAGAAGAGATGAGCCAGACAGAATTTTGAGATAGGCCTTTAAAAAAATTTTATTCGATTTTGAAAATCTTGGACCTCGTTTTTTGATGATTTTTTGAGGTCCACGATTTTCAAAATCGAATAAAAATTTTTAAAAGACCTATCTCAAAATTTTGTCTTGCTCATCTCTTTTAAATGATCCCTAGAACATATCCTGAAAGTTTCAGGGTGATTGCTTTAAAAATGTAGGAGAATATAGATTTTTAGACTCGATTTTCAGGGCACACGATTTGAGAACCCCATTAGGACGAATTTAAGATTTTTTGGAAAACTGCCAAAAATCAACCAAATTATGAGTTAGAATCAAATGAGAGGCAAAAATGAAATATGTAAAGTTTATGAACTGATAGCAATTCACCTTTCAAAATTTGCTCCTTCATAAAAAAAATGATCGATTTTTACTTTCCACACACTATTTTCAACTCACCCTGTATTTGGTTTATCAGCTCTGTATAAGTTGATGAATAATAATCTTAACCATAATTTGTGGTGTCTTTAAGCTCTATGATAAACTCTTGCTACCTCCGAGTAGTGACTAGGGACAGTGTTTTCAGTGTGTATTATATTGTGCTATGGAGTTCTCAAATTCTACATAATTCTCAGATTCGTGTGAACAATGAGCATGTTCAGAGAACATGGATCTATTTCAAATAATGGGTCAAATCACGGCAGTTTCTGTGTGCAATTTGAGTCACGTGCCATCATTCAGCAGTCACGTGTTTCTCATTATGTCACGTGACTCTTAGCTGGAAAGGAATGCAGTGAGGCGAGGTTGTATGTACAATGGGTTCAATAATCAATATCTCCAAATAAGTGATAATGGAGGAATTTTAATTTCTTTGCTCTCTAATGTAAGTCTTTAGGGCACCGAATTATTTGTGACACTCGCTAAATGACTTGTCGAATTATCGAACGCTATTAGTCCTCAGAAACCCTATTAAAGAAGCTAAAACTACGTTGTTTAATCGGTTCTACAGTTAATTGTCTGCAATCTGTCGTTATACGAGCAGTGGGTTACCCAGGTGGTAGTTCAGAAAGATATAGCGTCTAAACCATCAATAATCAATATACCATGATTACGTACCCGTATTTGGTACATTGATCAAAAGCCACCCTACCACCAGCCAAATGATTGGTAGAATGTAACTATTGTTTTGGTGCAGTTGGTGCAAGTTTATTTAATGATAAATTAATCAATTTTAATAGCACTAAAGATTTAGCACGAACGATTTACTTAAGTATTATTGAAAATAAATGAGTTTCAGAAATTACTTTAGATTAAAGTTAAGTCTAACAATATAATAGTGTCACTATTCTCTCATAATATCCTGACCAACTCATTCACACTGTTCAGATGTTTCTCCATACTGCTCACAGTACTTTTCCTAATGACAGAGGAGAAGCGCTCTAGCCTTCATAAATCGTAAAAGTCTATTTTCTAAGATTGAAAGACATACGAAATCAGCCAAGTTGACGCCCCCAAAATTAGAAAACTCCGATGTTGGATATTTCGGGAGGTCAGGGCAGCAGTGAAGCTTGAAAATTTGGGGTCTAGGTCTGATGCTGGTAGTCAAATGATTCGTATCATTCGATAAGTGATGGGATTATGTGAGGTGTTAGTGCTATCCGCACGTACTACTCGTCCATTAACAGTACTCCTAGGTCGTGTGGCTGGCGACACCAGGCCGGCTACAACACCTCCAGCCACTCTGTGCTGGCTCCAACCATCCTCCCCTGGCTCCTCCCCTGGCTCCTGCCATCTCTACTCAGTAGCCAGGGATGCTCGGACACGACACACTCCAGTGAGGTGGACCATATGTCTACTTGAGCCAATAAGAGTAGATCTCCAACGAGAAACAGCCAATAAGAACAGAGGTAGGGGGACAGATGACCAATAGGAACCAGTTGCTGTTTGAGAATAGGTGCATGCTGGGAACTTTACTGGGCCGCTGTTATTCAACTGTTTCACACAAATCAAATCAAGTGTAATCATTAATGAAATCGAAGTATTAGCCTTAAATATGATTTGGAGCACGTTCTATTGCGATTGGAGCTTTTCCAGGCCTCGAGCCGGAGTTCTCTAGTTGGTATTAACTTTATCAGATTCGTTAGCGTTATTATATTTGGCACAATTCGTTAGACATGTTGGTGCCGGCAAGTGATTAACAACCGAGTTTTTGCTGGTTAACTAGCAGCCTCAAATGTGGAATGACATTGAATAGAGAGGATTATTGGATCAGCCAGGAGAGAAGTGAGGAAATGAATGTGCTTGAAATATGCTGTTTGATTGATTGGTTTATCTTTGAACCTACTGAGTTATGATGACGACATGGCTTCAGTACGAAGTCAAACTGATCATAAAATCCATGGATAATAATAGAAGTCGTAACTTTACTGGCCCTACGCTGAAGAGCAAGGTAGCAGCTAAACCGCTTCGGAGTTTTATATTAGCCTAATTGCTAGAGCTGTAATTGCTAGAGCTGTAATTGCAGAGAAGAATTCACTGGTTTGGAAACGCTGAAGTTCCAATACCATATAATTATAATAAGTGCTAGGAAAGCCCAGTCCCGATTAAAGTGAGGTACATGGTAGACTGACTACGCTGACACGCTGGTTTTACAGGTAAATATCAACATGTATTATTGAGGAGTTATTTATAGGGTCTCAAGTCTCAACTTCAAAATTTTTTTGATTTTTTGATTTGTATTCCATCCGTGACCTGAACCAGAAAAGCTGTGCTTCCCTACTAAATGTGGAATCGCTCAATCCAATCCCTCATTGACTCAAACAGGAGTGCTACCTGGGGACCTCAGGTTTTTCTGTTCATAAATTGAAGATGCGGCGGAATGACAAGCTGAGCGCCGCCCAGTAAACAGGAGTGGTATTACAGAACTTGAAAGAATGATGGATCAAAAAGAGAATAGTGGAGAGAATACGTATAAAATATTTGGATAATTTCAAATTTCGGAATTAATTCATCTTATTCTTGGTAAAAATATTGCTATGATTCTGATAACCTGTGTTGAATTTGTTGAGTTAATCAAGATAACAGCTGTGCTATCATTTGTACTGATCAATCAGGAAAAAACAAGATGTACCACACGGACTAGCTGGGGTGCTTTAAGCCAACAAATTATATATTAAACGAATTTTCTGGACTCCACTCGTGAGATCATTGCTCCTTTATAACCAACATGCGAGGTACTGTGAAACTGAACCTTCGCCAAGGCTATTCTCCCTAAAGAGGCTTAAGTTTAATTCAAGTTCATGTAATATTGTAATAGTCAGTCGGACAAATGCTATCATATTTTCTGCATTTCGCACCCCATTGTCCATTAGCCCCCTAATTTCTCACCTGCAATGTAATTAAGATAACACACTAATCGACGAAGAAAGTACCAAGTTTTGGGCGGTGAAGATGTACCACACAGGTTTTCACGGACTAGCCGGGGTGCCTTGAGCCAAAGGTTGCCTTAATATTGATTAAGTCTGTTACTGAACTGAGAATCGTTACAAGACAAAAAACATTTCTATTCTATAATTAAAAGTTTTTTCCCTTCACATCCTGCAGTATTGTAGCCACACGTCTTATCTCACCTCGGTCCTTCTGATCAGGTTTCAAAATAATCTAAACCATGGCAATAAGTTGTATTCGCCTGACACTAATTATTAATAAAACAATTATTTATTTTTACGCCACTACCAAACAATTTTAATAATAACTAAATCAGTGGAGGCTTGAGGAGGTTTCAAGTGTCGAAGGCCACTGCTTAACTTTGGATTTGAGAGTGACCTGTGCTTAAACTGTCTCAACCATCCACTACGTCAATATACTTATTATATTTATATAGAAAATTTGGGAATATAATAATCTGAAATAATTCTAAAATTACTTATTGGTTTAATTTGGTGACACAGGAGAGCCTGCAGTCGAGTTTTAGTTTAGAATTTGATATCAAGTTTTAAATAGGTTGACCATGTTTCATGGCAGAGAGATATCATGTGTGCACTGTGCATAGCCGTTCGTTGACAAAACTTCGATTCATATACAATCGTCTCCATGATACTAAAATGAAATTATATTTAAGGGCAGTCGGTCCTTCGCAGTCACTTGGAATTTTGAAAGCCACGCATCATCAAGCTGCCCAGAGCTATTCGGAGCTATCCAGTTCCCTACGAAAGAGGCTTACGTAGACAAGTACTTCACCATACACTACAGGATCGACAAATGGGAAGCAGGATACCCGGGAAAGAGGGCAGTTGGTGGTTTTGTGAGACCCTTCGGCGGGGGTGACATGATGTGTTACGCTGATGATGACGACTTCGTGATTGGAGTCATGACAGAGTAGAAACATTTTCACAGATGAACATAATGTCTATTAATGGGACGTTTACGATTTTCCGACTTCTTTAAGATCTGTTTATTCATGGCTAATTATTGTAATAAAAATATCCGAAGATTGTTCGAATTCTAAAATGAGATCGTTGAATACGTATAGCATAATATTTGAAATAATTCCGTTTCAAATTTCGGAATTAATTCATATTGGTAAAAATATTTTTGCAGTGCTATAATTTTAATTACCTGCGCAGAATTTGTTAAGTTAATAAAGATAACAGCTGTTTCCATCAGGGAAAAACAATTATATTTTAAACAAATTTTCTGGACTTCACTCGTGAGACTGCTTCTTTATAACCAACAAACGAGGTACTGCGAATAGAACCTTTGCCAAGGCTATTCTCCCTGAAGGAGTTGAAGTTTAATTTAAGTTCATGTCATAGTGGGACTAATGTAATCATATTTTCTGTATTTGCACGCCATTGTCCATTAGCCCCCTAATTTCTCACCTGCAATGTAATTAAGATAACACACTAATCGACGAAGAAAGTACCAAGTTTTGGGCGGTGAAGATGTACCACACAGGTTTTCACGGACTAGCCGGGTGCTTTAAAACTAGGGTTGCTCTGATATTTATTCAGTCTGTTACTGAGTCGAGTTTCGTTACAAGACTCAGCCAGTCAACTTTATTTCTATTAACCTCAAAAAGGAGGACTCTTTTTTACTTTAATTTGAGTACTTTTTCTGTTTATAACGACCAAAAACATTTCTATTCGATTATTAAAAGATTTTGTACTTTATTCCCAACGTTATTGTAGCCACACATCTTATCTCAGCTCGGTCCTTCTGATCAGGTCCCAAAATAATCTAAACCATGGCAATAAGTTGTATTCGACTGATAGCTCTGGTGACATTGCTTCTGGGGATCTCTCAAGCTTCAACCAGCTGGTTCACACCTAGGTCCAGTACAAACTAGCTTCTTTTTCTTTAGGGCGACGAAAATTTAAAATAATATCAATAAAGCGATTAAACAAAATTTTCCACTATCAACAGTGTTAATTTTATTTTGAGTACCAAGTTTATTTTGGTGTGCCAAATTTGAAGATTACGTGAGCTAACACATAAAAAACTAAATATAAAATCTTCAGCTTCACCGACACTGCCAGCAAAGATGGTATTTACTGGCACCGTTCCGATCTGGCGTACCGCATGGGGGAGAACTTCCAACCGACCATGAACATTGCCTGGGGGAGCACACCCCAGTATACGGGCATGTTCTTACAGGGGAACCTCCAGTTCTTCACGGCTGATTTAGTATACATTGGAATAACAAACCTCTTCCAGGTTTCACCCGGTGGACTTCACGTCAGTGCACTTCGAGGTAATACGTTAAAATATCTGCAAAATTGAAAACATGCTACTTGAAGTAGCGGGTTTTTTCATTTATTAAATATCTATCTATTTTTTCAATTACATTTATTCATAGACCTTGCTCCTGCATTCCATCTTCCAAAATAAACGAAGATTTGATAATAAATATAATGACTGACATGAAACTCTCGGCCCCTCTAAGGTGCTGAAGATTTCTACATAGATGTCCCTGGATGTGGAAGCCAACGTTTTACTAAAAGCGTCTTTCATCTCAACATCGGAGTAAGTATTGGGTCTCAAATTGGTCCAATGGTCCTGTAATTAACCGTTCTTTTCATCTCAATTTTTACACATTTTTATCACCTAATTATTTGTTGACAGAACTTCGATTCATTACATGTACAAATACAATCGTCTCTTAAAAAGTTAAAATGAAATTATATTTCAGGGTGGTAGGTCCTTCGCAGTCACTTGGAATATCGAAAGCCACGCATCATCAAGCTGCCCAGAGCTTTTCGGAGCTATCCAGTTCCCTACGAAAGAGGCTTACGTAGACAAGTACTTCACCATACACTACAGGATCGACAAATGGGAAGCAGGATACCCGGGAAAGAGGGCAGTTGGTGGTTTTGTGAGACCCTTCGGCGGGGGTGACATGATGTGTTACGCTGATGATGACGACTTCGTGATTGGAGTCATGAATGGATTTTATTGATAGAAACATTTTCACAGATGAACATAATGTCTATTAATATTTAATGGGACGTTTACGATTTTCCGACTTCTTTAAGATCTGTTTATTAATCAAACCGAACGTTAAATTTCGTTTTAAAGCCTGCGGTTTCGGGATTTTGAAACTTGATTTGGCACACGGTTGATCAGATTATGAATTTTCAAAAATCGAATGATTAAAATTGTTTATAAAATCATGCATCATGGATATTACATTTTGTTTGTTACCTGTAGGAACAACTTAGAAACTTTCCGAGTTTTATTTCTTATCTTAATCGATGAAGGTTTGAATAATAAGTGAACCATATATGTTAACTGTGTACGGAGCAATATTAAATCAATATTTGTGCCAGAAAATTCTGGTTAGCTCTACTCAATGATCAATCAAACATTTTAACACCACAGTACCAACCACAGTACCAACCACAGTACCCACCACAGTACCAACTACAGTACCCACAACAGTACCCACTACAGTACCCACCACAGTATCCACCACAGTACCCACAACAGTACCCACCACAGTACCCACCACAGTACCCACAACAGTACCCACTACAGTACCCACCACAGTATCCACCACAGTACCAACCACAGTATCCACCACAGTACCAACCACAGTACCAACTACAGTACCCACTACAGTACCCACCACAGTATCCACCACAGTATCCACCACAGTACCAACCACAGTACCAACTACAGTACCCACTACAGTACCCACCACAGTATCCACCACAGTACCAACCACAGTATCCACCACAGTACCAACCACAGTATCCACCACAGTACCAACCACAGTACCCACCACAGTATCCACCACAGTACCAACCACAGTACCAACTACAGTACCCACTACAGTACCCACCACAGTATCCACCACAGTACCCACCACAGTACCCACCACAGTACCAACTACAGTATCCACCACAGTACCCACCACAGTACCCACCACAGTACCAACTACAGTACCCACTACAGTACCCACTACAGTACCAACTACAGTACCCACCACAGTACCAACTACAGTAACCACCACAGTACCCACCACAGTACCAACTACAGTACCCACCACAGTGCCCACCACAGTATCCACCACAGTACCAACTACAGTACCCACTACAGTACCCACTACAGTACCAACTACAGTACCCACCACAGTACCAACCACAGTATCCACCACAGTACCAACCACAGTACCCACCACAGTACCCACCACAGTACCCACCACAGTACCCACCACAGTACCCACCACAGTGCCCACCACAGAACCAACTACAGTACCCACAACAGTACCCACCACAGTACCCACCACAGTACCAACTACAGTACCCACAACAGTACCCACCACAGTACCCACCACAGTACCAACTACAGTACCCACCACAGTACCAACTACAGTACCCACAACAGTACCCACTACAGTACCCACCACAGTATCCACCACAGTACCAACCACAGTACCCACCACAGTATCCACCACAGTACCAACCACAGTACCCACCACAGTATCCACCACAGTACCAACCACAGTACCAACTACAGTACCCACTACAGTACCCACTACAGTACCAACCACAGTACCCACTACAGTACCCACAACAGTACCCACCACAGTACCAACCACAGTACCAACCACAGTACCCACCACAGTACCCACCACAGTACCAACTACAGTAACCACAACAGTACCCACCACAGTACCAACTACAGTAACCACAACAGTACCCACCACAGTACCCACCACAGTATCCACCACAGTACCAACCACAGTACCCACCACAGTACCCACCACAGTACCCACCACAGTACCCACCACAGTACCCACCACAGTACCCACCACAGTGCCCACCACAGTACCAACTACAGTATCCACCACAGTACCAACCACAGTACCCACCACAGTGCCCACCACAGTACCCACCACAGTACCCACCACAGTACCCACTACAGTACCCACCACAGTACCCACCACAGTACCCACCACAGTATCCACCACAGTACCAACCACAGTACCCACCACAGTATCCACCACAGTACCAACCACAGTACCAACTACAGTACCCACTACAGTACCCACCACAGTATCCACCACAGTACCCACCACAGTACCCACCACAGTACCCACCACAGTACCAACTACAGTACCCACCACAGTACCCACCACAGTACCCACCACAGTACCAACTACAGTACCCACTACAGTACCCACCACAGTATCCACCACAGTACCAACCACAGTACCCACCACAGTACCCACCACAGTACCCACCACAGTACCCACCACAGTGCCCACCACAGTACCAACTACAGTACCCACAACAGTACCCACTACAGTACCCACCACAGTATCCACCACAGTACCAACCACAGTACCCACCACAGTATCTACCACAGTACCAACCACAGTACCCACCACAGTATCCACCACAGTACCAACCACAGTACCAACTACAGTACCCACTACAGTACCCACCACAGTATCCACCACAGTACCCACCACAGTACCCACCACAGTACCCACCACAGTACCAACTACAGTACCCACCACAGTACCCACCACAGTACCAACTACAGTACCCACTACAGTACCCACTACAGTACCCACCACAGTATCCACCACAGTACCCACCACAGTACCCACTACAGTACCCACCACAGTACCCACCACAGTACCCACCACAGTACCAACCACAGTACCCACCACAGTACCCACCACAGTACCCACCACAGTACCCACCACAGTACCCACCATAGTACCCACTACAGTACCCACTACAGTACCCACCACAGTACCAACCACAGTACCCACCACGAGGATACCTCTATCTCATTCTCCCATGTCACGTGACAGTGAGTCCCCACGTCTCCTAGTCTGTGCTGAGAAGAGTTCTCACAATTACCACCAGGTCCCTAGCTGGTCTAGCTGGTTCACTGACTCCACACCAACATAATTGTAGTTGTTAGTCAGTTTACTGGTCCTGATTAGCCATCACGGACAAGAGTGCTCTCCCAGCCCCCAGCCAACGGGACCAATCTGACCGCTTGTCCGAGAAGAAAACCACCACGTGACCCACAACGTGCGAACCACGTGGAGAATACAAACAGCTGCACTTGAATAAACCTTGCTCATTTGTAAAGAAAAGCGTTCCCCTCAGCACCTGTTACTCTCATTAGGGAGCTGATTAACGATCGCCTAATCCCCGATTAGAGCTATTTAATAAACCTTGCCCGCTAAGCCTGTGATTGGTGCTTTGAACAATAAAACTCCGAGGACAGAGGGACCCCAGGGGCTCTCTAACCAGCCAACATTTAATAACTTAGCAGAGCACTTTACTGAGTAATTACTACGCAGTTTGTATTTAGACGTCACGTGGGGGAGCCCCGCATTGTGGCGGTGATTGAAGTGCACTGTCACGTGATCGTTTCGAGACCACGTGACCCGCAATCAACTCCCACGTGGGCAATGTGCACGTTCCTAAAGACCCGCTCTGTGGTGATTGGCTCCTCCTAAAGGCCAGCCTCACACTGATTGGTTGCCCCGGGACTTGTAATAAGTGCTAATGGAGATTGATTTCGGAGTAAGTCCACGTGGTTGGAGGTCACGAGGTCATGGTAAGGGTCTCGTGACGGAGCCAGCCGGCGGGGAGGGAGAGCAGATCAGAATACTAACTCACTTTACACATGCCATCGTACGTTTCCTGCAGCTTTCGATATAGATGTGCTGTCGTGTGCTTTCCGTAACCAAATAAACATGTCAGGATATGGTTGCATGGGTTCCACCTATTAAATTACAATAACATTGTCCGCATCTGCTTTCTGCTTATCAAAAACCCTGTCTTGTGCTCTTTCTGTTTCACTTAACGCTCCCTTCTTTGCTTCACATAACATAGTTGACCCCTCCTTTAAATTGATAGAACCTATCAGAACCTGTCTTGTGTTTCCTCTTACACGTAGACGCCATGTCGTGCGAACTGCGAAGGCATGCCACTCGGAAACTGTTTTTAATATCATGTTCTCAGCATGGGACGACACGATCAGGCATGTGTTTCCTTATCATGCACGTGCACAAAATGACAGCTATTGTTTGCACGTGTATATATTGTGCACTGTCAGCTTCTTCCTGATTTGGCACGTGCACTCCTAAACGCTTGCTTTCTCAATTATGACATGTTCCTTCTAACATCATCTTTACAGTTCTCTGTTCTTAGATTGTACCTTGATATCTTAGTGGGACTGTCCCCCAGTTTGTCTGTCTGTCTAGATATTTCTCAATTCTCACCCTTTGGTTGTTGGTTAAGGGTCTACCAATCGTCAGCCTGCATGTCTGCCTGCATGTCCGACTGACTATCCATTCGACTATCTGCCTGCCCTCCAATGATCCACTTGCCTCACTGCCTATACAGATCTGTCTGTGTCTGCGTCTTTATCTATGTTTCCGCCTACTTGTACCTTTACCCGCCTGTTTGCCATTCGTCCAGTGTTCCAGTTTGTTTGTCTGTTTGTTTGTCTGTTTGTCTGTCCGTCTGTTAGTGTTTGGCTGCCTGTTTGTCTGTCTATTTGTGGCTGCACAACAAATTCTGATGTTTGATTTTTCAGTGACCAACGGACTACGGAACGGTTACACAGCGCACTCACAGACTGGCCAGGAAAACAGAATAAGTTGCCGTTGTTATCAGCAGTGAAGATGAGTAGTTTCTAGTAGTGAGGAGAACGACGATTACGCTTCAGTGCGAGTTTATGCTACGATGATTAGTGATTACAATCAGTTGGAATTAAATGAGACGATTATCGAATGAGACGGTTATTTAAATGAGACGTTTTTTTTTCTGGGCAAATGTAGAACAAATTAGATATCGGTTTACGTTTGTATAATCTTCAGAGTTTAGATACTTTAAAGCTTTTTTAGTACAAATTTTATGATTTTTCTAAGGAAAATTAACAGTATACTTCAACTTTGTTTATTCTATAAATTCTGTTACATTTAATGTTCAGTGTTAATTTTGATTGATGATGATAGTTATTATATTTGGATGCCGAAAGAAAAGAATTTTATTTTTGTCAAGTCTAAGAGAGAAAAATCCAGTAGTAATGCTTATAACCATGGCCAAGACAACACTTTTGTTATATTTGTCAGACTTAAGTCGAACATCAAAATAGTACTTAAAAGCAGAACGAGTAATGCATAGTATCAATGGGATAGGTCTGGACAAATGTTTGAGCACGTGCCAAATAACTTCAAATTCAAATTTCGAGATGATCCAAATGCATAAGGTATGTAACAACACTTCCCAGACAACACAAGTTATGAATAAAAAGTGATGATCACGTAAATCTGATAGATAAGGGTTTTGAGGTTTGTGAGATGTTGGGGTATAATGTAGGGGTATCCGTAAAGGTTTTGGGTTATCAGAAGTGGTCGTGCGATCACGTGCCTGCCTATAAGTATAACGCGACACTGACAGCGATTGATCTTAAATATGTTTCTGTCGGGGCCGCGCGTTTCAGGCCATGCAAGTGCAACGTCACGCGTGTTATCTGGCTGGAGTGATTCATCATATATGATCATCCATAAATTTTAGGGTTAGAATTAGGGTTCAACTTGGCTGTTAATAATACTAATAGACTGAACTGGCGCGAGCTACTTAATTTTTCGCCAATATTTGTACTCATGTCTGTCTGTTAATAGTAGATGATAGAATATAGTCATATAGAACTAGAAGGACATCCTGGCCCTGCGTAGGGGTTTAATTTTATCTTTATACAGTTACACACGATGGGTGATATTTTGCGCCTACTTTATACGCCTTTCCTTGCACTGGGCCGCGGCTAAGGTCTACCACAGGGATGGTTCATGGTAGCTATGCCAGTATAGTGTCCAATGAACCTCAACCACACAAAGGAAGAATTGAGATTAAAAAACCAAACAATGATATCTACAAGTACAGTAATACTAATAGTAATATGATATGGGGGTCAGGCATCGAGCAGCATATCTAGTCTCAGTTCTTCCTGAACTGAAACAAGGAGGGAAGGGGGACTGCCTCTCTACTGTGCACTGAAGTAAGCCTTACGCTTGCATGCTATATATGAAGTGTACTACCCTAAAAAACCCTAAACCACGAGAAACGATAAAATAATCAATACTACTAAATACAAGTCCGGTTTTATAAGCACCACATTATTATTATCATTGGGCACACCACTACCAGGACCCATCTATCAACCAATGCCTCGGATCTGGATAACATGACTTGATGTGCATTGTGCAACGGTCTACGCCTTACATCTACAGTAGGTCTTTCCGGACAGTCAAACTTTAATGCAAGCGATCGCATTGAATGTGGTAAACTCATAGAATTAGAGGCAGTCCAGCTTGTGCAGTTTTAGAGTCAAATCATGATCGATGAAAAATTTTTAAATCGCGACGCCAATTGCTTATTTTTTAGTTACTAGTTGATACGTTACTTTGCGTCCAAATTTGACGGAAATCCCCGTTATCGACATCGTAACACTTTTTGATGCACTTTAAGTTTAAGCACGATATTGATAACATGCAGTTTGGTTTTACCATGAAAACACTGTCTTAGTAAAGTCATGACAGTGAAACGTACTGATATTGATAGTTTTAAAGTAAACCTTTCTTTCCTGAGGCTTGAAGTTGCACCTTTTCAAAAATGTGCACTTAAGCCTAAGGTGGAGGTCAACCACAGGGAACTATCTGCAACATAAACTCAGTTCATTTGTCAGACGCTGCCTGACCCATTATCACCTCGTATAGCCGGGCCGGAGAAGAGGGTACATACCGTACTGTACCGTACTGTACCGTACTGTACCGTACAGTACGGTACGGTACCGTACCGTACTGTACCGTACTGTACCGTACTGTACCGTACTGTACCGTACTGTACCGTACTGTACCGTACTGTACCGTACTGTACCGTACTGTACCGTACCGTACTGTACCGTACTGTACCGTACCGTACCGTACCGTACCGTACCGTACCGTACCGTACCGTACCGTACCGTACCGTACTGTACCGTACCGTACTGTACCGTACTGTACCGTACTGTACCGTACTGTACCGTACTGTACCGTACTGTACCGTACTGTACCGTACTGTACCGTACTGTACCGTACTGTACCGTACTGTACCGTACTGTACCGTACTGTACTGTACCGTACTGTACCGTACTGTACCGTACTGTACCGTACTGTACCGTACTGTACCGTAATGTACCGTACTGTACCGTACTGTACCGTACTGTACCGTACTGTACCGTACTGTACCGTACTGTACCGTACTGTACCGTACTGTACCGTACTGTACCGTACTGTACCGTACTGTACCGTACTGTACCGTACTGTACCGTACTGTACCGTACTGTACCGTACTGTACCGTACTGTACCGTACTGTACCGTACTGTACCGTACTGTACCGTACTGTACCGTACTGTACCGTACTGTACCGTACTGTACCGTACTGTACCGTACTGTTGTACATACCGTACAACAGTTCATGAGTTTATGTTACGGTATGAAAAATGTATGTCACGACACTGAACACTTTTATTGGAAAAGTATGACCAGGAATAGTCATCATCATTAATTTCACTTTTCAGCAGAGCCAAAATTAACCTTGGTGTTTTAAGTTTAACTTAAGCTAGTTCACAAGTTCAACTCACATGAGCGTGCGAATAATCTGGATGGGCATGTGGAGGTCAGCACGCTGAGTCAAGTTTAACTGACGGTCCACATTGACAATATTTTCTTTGTGAGATTCCGAGTTTCCATGGTTAGCTCTGACATATCTTTTAATTGACTTAAACTTGCACTCGATTGTGTAAAAAACGTCAATAAATTGGCATGGCATGAGCTGAGGTGTAAAGAGGTGCTTTGAGCGGCGTTACTTTTAAGTAGACTAAAAGCCTGTTATAAATTTACCTGGACGT